GCTCGTTTGCTGGCTGGTTGCCTCACCACAGTGCCTTTCAGCGCCACCGAAGACGCTGTTGCGGAATTGCTTCTGCACTTCTGGCAGGGCCGCCGTCTCGCTTCGGCAACAACTTGGCCTTGACCTTGCGACATACAACGCAGCCGCAATCGCAACCCATTTATCAGGCCTTGGTTCAGTGGTTCAGTCCATTTTAGACGCGGCCAGCGCATAATAGTCGCCACAGTCGAGCTGCAGGTTTCAGCTGCGTTGGTATGGCCGCCGTGTCCCCATTTACGCTTGTTGTTACTAGGCATGTTGCCTTAAGGATCATGGTTATATGAGCTGCGAGTCCCGTGATCCCAGTCGCCCAGTAGGTACTGGCAGAGGCCCTTCTATGCCGCGTTCAATTTGGCTGGCTGATTGTATCGTCCAGATACCACGCCGCTTGGTTATTGATTGAGGGGTCGATCTAGCCTTCAGGCCACGAGAAAGAAGGCCATGTTACTATTCTCGTCGTATCCTGCATGCCGCAAATCATACAACCCATGTTGGTCCGAGGCCGATTGCTGGATAGGTGATGTACGGACTCTGGTGGTAAGCCCGTGCGTCGAGTATCACTTTTGGCGTTTCTTTTGGATTTTGCGGTTGTTCATGCTGCCCATTGACCGTGCCGTACTCGCCAATGTGTGCAACGGGAGCTGTCATTTTCAGTGCAAGCGCATCCGTAGGCTCCGAGACATTGGCAACCCGTTGCGGAGGAAACGTTCGGGGCCGGCCCAAAAGTTGAGATGAGATATCATCTCTGACTAAGACTCATGACGCCAGTATCATCTCCTTTCAGCGCAATCATCCTGAAAGAGAAATTCGGTCGTCGAGGCCAAGTAGGCGATTGGAGATGGACCGTTTCCGGGAGATGCGGGTAAGGAGAGACATGCATGAGGGGGGAAATGGACGTTCAGGGACCAAACTTTGGTGGTGGGAGATTGTGTTGGATCGGCCAAGCGATTGGTCCAAATTGTCGATTGAGAGGCCAATGAAAGACGAAGAGAGGGATCGCGCCCCTTCCTGCCCAGAAGTCCATTTCGAAAACGGCCAATCATATAGTTGATAATGCACCAGACCCTGGACGGGGAGCATAGCAACACTCCTCTTCCAGTAGTGGTTGGATGTTGTACGCGGCCGACGGGGGCGATGGTCGTTGCTTGAGCGGATCTGGACTTTCAATGAGACAATGTCAAACTCTAGTTTTCCCTGGAGCAAGAGCCTTGAAGATGGGTTGGAGCGTTGCACTGTCTGCGAATGGAACACTTCCAAAATGTCTTCCATCACTAGACTGCCGTATCGAGCCGACTCCCACCCCCAAGTCATCCCACGGATAGGCAGGCTGTGAAGCTGACTCTGCGGGCAACGGGCCGTATCAGACGACCGGGTCGTGGGTGAGATTGCAAGGACGGCGGGCCACTGGTGAGCGTATCATTGCCTGTTGTGCCGGAGAATATAAGAATTGGGAGGATAGTTCGAATCCATCGATCCACCTTGCCCGGATCTTTTGGGGATGTCTTGGACAACGGAAGCTTCAAGGGTGTGCCATACCATCCATCTCCTGTTAGCTTAGTAGGCTGAGAGTCCGGTTTACCAAGTTTGACGACACCCTCGGAAAATCCTAATTCGACTTACGGACAGACGAGAAAGCGCGTCTGATTGTTGGTGGCGCTTCCTGGTTGTTGGTTCGACGACGCGTCTTTGAGGCTTTTCGCTGCAGTCATCTATCATGGCCATGTAATGGCGTCCAGTAGAAGTCTGCTACTACGTCGCCGCGGGGTCCTGCGGCGATCCTCCTGCGAGTCTCTCGATCGAGTTACTTTTAGGACTGAGCGTTCCAACCGATGTTTCCCTGTTGGTTTCTCGAGGAGTAGGCCCGGAGAATCGAGAGCAAATCAAGTAGGTGCCGCAGAGCCCATCTAGCCGGTTCAGTAGCATCCTCTGTGATTACTTGCAGAGCGTGTTTGTTGATAGATGACAGATGGCATGGGAAATCGATGATAACCTCTCTTCGAATATGAGCTTGGTCTGGGTTCTCTTTGCGATTGTGCCCGCCCGAGCCGTCCACACCATCTCGAGGCTCGAGGGAATTCTAGCCGAAGAGAGCTCATGGTCATCAAGGATGAAGCGCCGAGGCCATCTGGAGATGTCGCCAAACAAGCGCCGGGCATTGGAGGAAGGGTGGGGCATATGTGACAAGCGTAGCGGTAGCGTGGGCGATCAACAGGGAGGGTGGCACGAGAGCGAGACATGCAGAAACCTGTCCACTCGGACAGCGTGAGAGTGAGACATGCAGTGGATCATTGATGGATGACATGTTGACGACAGTTGACGACGCTGGTGAATCAAGCGGTTTTGACCTGTCTCTTTGCTCGGTAGCAGGCGGTTGGACGGTGGTGGTCTCTAGACACGGTGGAAAGACTGACGCAGGGGAAACTTGAAAGACAGGATACGATAGAGGTACTGCGTCAAGGAGCAGATGCGTAGCCACTGCAAGGCCTGGTTGAATATGTGAGGGCTCCCATCCGGCACTTGTTGAGTGGGCGAAGTGGATCGTATTGTTCCGTAAAGTTAGAAGTGACTAGGTGTCGAGAGGCTATCGGGGGCCTAGGGCTGGGATCGAGTGGATGTTGCGAAGCGTTGGTACCGTATGGATAACTTCGTAATGGGACTTTGCTCTGCAGTCTGAGCGTTTTGGGTTCAAGAAAGGACAAAAAAGCATGGGAAGAAAACGTGGTGGAGGAAAAAAAAAAAAAAAAGACATCCATGGCTGGAAGAGGCGACCGTTGGCCCCGCCTCACTCCACGGGCCACTGGGCGACTGAGGTGCACGTTCCAGCTGAGCCGTCTTGACCCGCAGATACGTATCGACAGCCGTTGCGCTAGAGCCATATTGGGGCAGGTGCAGTGTAGACCCACTCTCTCGACCGGTCCTTCCTGCTGCTCCAATGCTCCTTCGTCTTCGGTCGTCGCCATCGATGCTTCTCGTCCAGTTCTCTTCTTTCCTTGCCAGCGTCGTCGGGTCACGGGGTGTCTCCTTCCATTCCATTCCCTCGGCCGTTCCTTCCCACAATCATTCTCCAACCCTGAGGCTTTCCCGTGAGGTATCACGTATACTATCCTGTATCATCATTTGGCGCTCTTGCCATTCACGGCCGTTGTCCCGTTCTCTCGTCTATTCCGGGTCAAAGTCCACCCCAGTGCCGTTTCCCATTCGCAACCTGAAAATGTCAGCCAAACACCTTCAGTCTCTGTCTCTTGCACCAACTCTCTGTACGCCGCTATTCATTCGACAATGACATACAGCGTTACCCCTGCCTCGCTCCGTCGATAACAGCAAACTTATTACTTTTGCCTTCTTACTCATACGACCAGGTCTAACTCTTCTACGGTAGTCCATACACTACTGTCCGGTCTCGTCCTCTGATCTTTCTCACTCGTTCGTGGCGGGGCGGGCCATCCCCCCCGTGTGCCCTCGGTCGCTTCAAGGGCATTCCCAGCCGCCAGCTTTGGGCGTTTGCCTCCCCGCCATCTCAAGTTCTCAACTCAAGCTCGTCCAGTGTCGCCGAGACTCGACACTTAATCCCGCCCCGAGTCCCGTGCCCTTCAACCCAAACGAAACTACCGCCCTCGCCGTCGGTGAGCTCGTGGGGTACGACGTACCGACGTAGCGCATACCAACTGGCGGTAAGCACAGCCATGTTGCTCGTCTAATCTGAGTCACACGCTTGTTTCCGGGTCCTCCCACGACGGCACATCACGATGATATCCCTCTCGATTGTCAAAAAAAGCAGCCACATCGAATTCGACATGCCGGCAAAAGTCTGTTTTCCCCCCTGATGCCCCTCTTCATTCTTCTTTACTCCGTAACCCCCCAAAAGGCCAAAGGACCAGCACCCAGAATCCCAGACGATGCAAAAGACCCCGAATGCGGACAAGGGCACGACAAGGGTTTGCGGCCCAATGGCAACGTCGAGTCGCCTTGTCAAGGCTCTTTTCTGCTGCCATAGGACGAGCCGTGTATGCAGAGTCCAGGGCGAAAAAAGAAGCTACCCGCATGGCGGCACAGTTGCAGTAGCAGCCAGCTTCGTTATTTCTCGTCATTTTTGGCCCATCAGGTATTAACGGGTAATAGGTAGGCGGCCCAGCTAGGTATCTCATTCTCGTCCATTTTGCCATTTTTGACCCCTCCACCTACTCTCCGTACCCTGCACACATCGGCCTCTCATCGCCTTGCGTGCCATTCTCAGCATTTTCCCTCTCGCCTTGGCTCCAGTCCATGCCTCTAGCCCCTCTTCCACTCTTCGAGTCTCATCTGTGTCCTTCTCCTAGGTGTCTTGAATTCTCCTCAGCGGAGCCCCCCCCTATGCACCGCATCTGCACACTCCTCAGGCAGTTTCCACCGCGACAGGAGTTCGCATATTGATGTTCATCCAGCTCGCATCCGCTACCTCCAAATCCCCCCTTTCCGTCTTTTCCAGGCGTCCCGGGGGCTCTTCTAGTTCCTCTTTGCGTTTCCTCTATCTGTCAGGATGAGTCAACATATTAATTGGCTCAAACCGCTGTCTGATCTGCTCCCTCCTGCGCGCGCGCTCCCTGTTAATGGCTGCCCAATCCCGAAGCGCCGTGCTCGGCGGTTGCAGCAGCTCACCTGACTTGAGCCCATGATGCGCGATTCTTGACCGCCGCAAGACCATGGCTTAAGAGGAATCTTAGTGTGGCCTGTGTAGGTATTGCATACCTCGACATGTAGCGAGAGCACAGCCAGCCTGGTATTCTAGAGACAAGGGTTCAGAAGCCATACGTAGGTGAAGAAGAAGCAACTAGCATTCGACATCTCATCTACTCGCACAGATAGGTAGATGCAGATGCAGCGATGCGAGAGATGGCATGCCTAGGCACCTTACCTACGTAGTACGTACACATACGCCCCAAAAAAAGGTACCTTTGGTTGGGTACTTAAATACAACCCAGACCCCCCCCCCCCCCCTTGGTGTGTGTGTGCCTCGCATTCCCATCCCGGTACATCGTGCAGAAAGTACTGCTCCTGTCCCGTCGTCTGCACTCTTGCTGCTAGTCATACCCCTGCTCGCTGGACCCGGCCGCCGTTGTCCATTCACGTCGTTCCAGTAGACTGGGAAGCAACAAGCAAGTGCAAGATACCTGGATAAAGGTACTTGTCAAGAGGTAGACGTCCTGGGCGAAGTGGTGAGGGCCTACCCCGAGGTATATACAATCCGATGTTGCCTTCTTTGGCTTCAACTTGGCTATTGCTACGTAGCTGTAGCTTCTCTCTTTCTTTTCTTATTTTGCCTCATCCCAGTGCTCCTTGTTCCTTGTCAAGCCCTCTTGCCACGCTGCTTCACGTTTACCTAGATCTATCTATCCGTCGTCTCCCATCTCCATATTCCTATCCGCCCACCCTCATCCTCACTCATCCTTCTCCGCATCTCACACTTATCTCGACGACAACTCCCACCCAGCGAACCGGCACAAAACAGTTTGACTTGACTGGCTTCTCGCGGAACGACAGATCACTTGCAACCTCTCGTGTCACCGTCATTCCTCTGTCACAAGAAAGAGGCTGGCTCATCTTTCTCAGCGGCGCCAAGGTACTATCTATCTGCCTCTCTATCTGCCTGTCTAGATTCTCAGCGCGGCCTTTTCCCCCACCATCTTCGAGACCCCTCTGAACCCCTCCACCACCACTACAACCATCCCGACCGAATCGGCTCTCCCACGGCAGCCGCGCAACCTCGCAACCTCGCACCACCCCACCACTTCACACTCTCACTATCACAACCCGGAATCTAACCCCCTTCTTCCGCGCCAGCCTTCCTTGTTGACAATTTTTTCTCTCTGCTCACTCCTGTTTACAACCGTTCTGGGGGAATCATAATTTCACATCTGCTGTGCCGCCCTTGATCATTCATCTTTTCTATATAACACTTCCCTACAGTTCTTGGCCGAGCCTGATCTGATATCCTAGATTAAGGAACCTTCCTGAGACCATCATCTGTATTTCTGCCATTCTGTTAGTCAGCCGCGCTCAAAACCAGCACTCGTTCTCTAGCCTGAGATCTAGGTTCTAACCCGTCGCACAGCATAAGCCTTCGGGAAACACGACGTCGAACCGGCATTGACCCGTCAGATTTGACCGAGGTCTAAGCACCAGGTTACTCTCGCCGCCGCCTCTTTGCCTCTGCGAACCTCATCGCTGACATACATCCAGAATTGTAAACATAATCGTGGCAGAGATATGAGATATTAAGGTTGCTGGATTATGGTGGACAGGCCCAGAGGATTCCTCGAACCCGGGATATCATGGCAACCCGACGCATGGCATCCGGTTTGCCGAGCCGCCCAGATGAACAGTTACGAGCGAGAAGAACCGCTGCTGCCGGATATATGGAACCGAGTGAAGATTTGCAGAGCGCGCCTCGGAGGATCCGCAGAGAAGGAGAGAACATTCGCATCGCCATTCAACAGCCGGTGCAGACGAAACCCGCGCTGATACCATCGACTGCCTCTACGCGGCGACCATCCATCCCGATGCCTTCTACCCGACCACCTTTAACTCATCAGACCCAGTCATGGAGTTCTAATAGCACAGCTCCCGAAAGACCTCGCCATGCTCCGACCATGTCTGGCTCTTCGACATCTGGCCAGTCTCAATCGAGTGTTGCCAAGCCGAAACGCAACGTACTGCGGAGAAAGCAGTCGTCTGTCACCCAGAAGACACCTAGTCTGCACCATGATTCGAATACCGACTCAACTCGAGGAAGCTCATCTTCTTCAGCTCCACGATCCCGGTCTTCAATGGAACCGGCTCCCTACCACTTTGACCGCGGCATGACCGAGAGCCCAACCGAAATTCGCATCGCACACGTTATCGATCTACCCAAGACCCAAGCACAACCTGTTACAATCTATCCCGAGCTTGATCGATACAGGGAGATCTATGGGCGACCCTCTACGTCTTCAGAGGGGTCTAGCGTTGATTTCCTTCACAGGCTGGCCACGCACGATCTTCCACCGCCGACGCCCGTTTTTTCCGGCACCAGCAGCCAGCTGAGTGCTTTCAGCGGCAGTCCTTCCACGAGGTTCTCCGAATCAACCAGCCCGGGTCCATACAGTCGTGACACCACTCCCACCTCCATGTCATCACAGTCGCCAGGGCTGGTAGTCCCGATGCGACTGCCTGTGCCCCGAGTGAGGCAAGTGAGTCCAGCAGTGACACGGCCACCAGTCGCCCGGAGAAGAGCCGGCAGCATACCGAATGAGATGGAGGCGTTTAGCGCCGACCCCCAAGGGCTTGCCGCAGTACGTGAGTCTCTGACTTCGTCATCGTCAAACTCTACAGTTCGAGAAGGAGACCGCAAAGATTCCAAGAGGAAGAAGAGATTGTCGCCCCTACCCCCGAGCCCCCCGCCACGGAAGTCGTCCCAGAAGTTCGCCAAGGATCAAGACAATGACGAGTCTCCATCAAAGGCCTCCCGAGAGCCGGCCGTACCAGTCTTGACAGCCCCGTCGCCTATTCAATCTCCTCCACGACGAACACCAGCCGCTTCACCTAGAGCAACCCCACCTGCTCGTCCCAGCCGAGACAACACTCCGGACCTGCAATCCCAGCTGTTTGGTCCCTTGCCCATCATCCATAGCAATCTATCATCGTCCTCTCTGTTAGGCGAAAGACGTGGGCCGGAGCCGCAGCCGATGTCGCGGTCGACGACTCCCTTATCATATCCTGAAAACCCGCAACAAACCTCTCGTTTGCCGGTGGGCAGGGAGGCTACACCCGCCCCGCGGTCGGCGAATGCCGTGGACACGAAGAAGAAGAATGACAGGACCGTCACTCGTACCCCGAGCCCCGGTACATCGACATTCTCTCGGTTCCCCTTCTTTGGTCGGCGGTCTAAAACAGCACCGGAGGTTCCCCAGGTCGATAAGAAGGACAAGCCGGCTCGTAAGGGTCCAGCAGCCGGCACTGGGCACGAAGGTTACGGACGCCTGGGAGGTCTCCGAAGACGAAGCGGAAGCTCAACAACAAATTTGGCCCGCCCGAGTCTGGGACCTGGTTCTTCTCAAGACAGCCTCAACAGCAATCAACCGACCGACCCTTTCTTGCGGGAGCGTATGAACCCCGTTATCATTTCCGGAGGAGGACTCATCGACAACAGAAATAACAGTGTAGACTTGGTCCGGTCAGAGAGCTATCAGAGCCTTGGATACTCCTCGGACGTGTCGACAACATCCAGCATTGGGCGAGGCCTAGCCCCATCAGCCATTCCTCGAGGTGGTCCCCATCCCTCCCTTGGTCGTCGTCGGCCTTCCGACAGCAGTGACTCCGAGGCCGTTACCATGAAGCCCACCTTGGCGTTCAGGCGATCTGTTCAGCGTTTGCGTTCGTCCCCGGACCAGAGTCCGCTGAAGCTACCTCAACCCATCAACACCACTGGAATCACATCGCCGTCAATCAACAGCCACGATACAAGCATTCTCACGGATGATTCGCAATTTGAAATGCACAGAGAGGTCATTCGAGGCCGCATTGCTGCAGCCACTGCGATAACACCGAAGAAGCTCACCAAGCGTACACGCTCTCCGAGGAAGTGGAATCTCTTCAGCCGATCTCAGAGCCAGCCAAACACCAAGAAGTCAGACAAGGATGCTGTGCCAGTGGCTGCGACCGTTAAAGTAGTACAGCACAAGCCTGCTGCTTTTTACACTCTGATGGACGGTTCCGAGCAGGAAGACACTGGTACGCCAGACGTCGAAGAGATCCTTCGGGAGGCTGAAGTCTTTGATCTCCCATCTCCTCCACCTGTTCTGAAAGAAAGACGAACATCCTCTGCAAGTCAAAGCAGCAGGAGAGAATCCTTGAGCAGGCTATTGCAACCAACCAAGTCATCGCAGGCTCGGAGGAACTCGGCGACTGCCAGGTCAACTTCGATCCCAGCAATTCGGTCCATGAAACCTGCCCACACACCTCAGGCCAGTGTTTCGAAGCCAACTGAACCGCGCCCAAGTCGCCTGCCTCAAGTCGGTCGAATTCCCAAGGTTGTGACCTCTCGGCCAGAGCACACTTCCTCGAGAAGCTTTTCCCGGCCTTTCAATAGGATCAGCATGCAAATGCCGCCGCAAGCTGCAGGCTTCAACCCCGATTTTGTTGCTTCAGGTGCGACCCTGACCCCAGAGCTTTCTACACCTGAACTGTCTCGTGGAGAATCCACCGCGACCAGCGACAAGACCAACTCGGATCCTCGTTCCTCTCTCGTTCCCGTCAAGACGCCCGAGATGGTTCAGATCGGTAGAGAGTTTTTGGCGTTTGCTCCTCGAAAGGACTCCGAGTGCACTACGAGCACTGATTCCAGCAGCCTCGGCATGTACACCCTTGCAGATGCCATGGCTTACGTGCCCGATCCCAATGCCCCCCTTGTTGAGGACGAGATCTGGGATGAGTACAATGATTTGATTGGCGACGTACCACCATCTGCGACATCCTCAAAGGGCGCCCCGTTCCATCTCGAGACCCACAGCTCACGAATGTCCAAGAGATCGTTAAAGCCTCTCGAGTCTCCTACCATTGCGCCGTCTTTGAAAACTCTGGAGAAGAACATCGAGGTAGAAAGGGGCGCAACAACGTCTAGTGTCTATTCCGCTGATATGACTGAGCGTCTCAAGGCCGCCTTTGCGTTGAAGCCTGAAGGGGAGATTCTCGTGCCCGTTGGCGAAATTCCCGCTAGAGTCATTGACCGCGAGAGCACCGAGCTGGCACGCAAGGCGACAGCCGCATCTCAGAGAAGCAGTGGCTCGTCTCGGAGATCACGACAGTCCGACTGCAGCTGCAAGTCTTCCGAGGACGAGTCGCCGCTCTCTCAAGTCAACCTCCGCGTCGGTTCGATGACGGTCAGCAAGTGGTTGTCTTTTGGTCATGTGCTTTTCAGCCCGGCCAGGGACCAGCTTTTGGACGTTGTCGGCTCGCTGAAGCGCCACTCTATTCTCGTTGTCGATGGTCTTGGCAATGACGACTGGTCATTCTACGCAGCGGAGACGTACCCTGCCGCCACCTTTTTTAACTTGTCACTCCGAGCTCCGTTGCCAGAGGAGCATAAGAACTCGTCAAGCTTCCCTTTGAGTCCGCCAAATCACCATCAGATTCAATATCTCTCTCAGATGGACAAGTTCCCTTTTGGCGCAGAGAGCTTCACCTCGGTGGTCTTCCGCTTCCCCGCTGCCGCGCCCGAGTCTCACTATCGGAACATTGTTTCGGAAGCACGTCGAGTTCTCAAGCCGGGTGGCTACCTGGAACTCTCGATTCTTGACGTTGATCTCAATAACATGGGCAACCGGGGAAGGCGTACTGTCCGTCGATTGAAAGAACGCATTCATGTGAACAATTCGGAGACCAGTATTGGCTCATCCTCCGACCTCATTCTACGCCTCCTTGGGCGCAAGGGCTTTTCTGATGTCAAGAATTGCCGCGTCGGCGTGCCAGTGGCGAGCGTTGTCACCCGATCAGAGAGCGGCAGCAAGAAACCACCTGTGACTAGCGCCCGTAAGGCCAAGGAAGTTCGCAGTCTTGCCGAAATGATGAATGAAGATGGCGACTCGGCTGATGAGAACATCACCAAGATGGTGGCCAAGGTGGGCCGGTGGTGGTACAGCCGCTGCTACGAGAGCGCAGCTGGTACCATTAGCAAGAGCATCTGGTCTGATCGTGCATTACTTTCCGAGTGCGAGGAGCTACGAACAAGCTTCAAGCTCATGGTTTGCTACGCGCGCGTGCCAGATAGGGCGCGAACCGCAAGTATCTGAGTCTTCCAAGTCTCTTCATTCCTTGTCTGTTTCGGCCTGGTTTCCTTACTACCCTCTTTTCCTACCACAACGCACATGACCCATTCCAACGTATCTCTATTACAAGGGCATCATTACTGGGGCTTTGGAACAGAAGAGGAAACATCACAAGATCCAAGAGGGCGCAAGCCCATCGTCGACTCTGTCCCACGAGGAACCGAGTCTTTCACCCCCTTTTACACAACGAAGCAGAGCAGCCGGTGAACACAGCACGGCGTTTGCGACAGGGCTTATCTCATCTATCCACTCTTGGCTGAGTGGTTTTGGATAGTCCTTCCATCATCCCTTACTATCATATTTCCTTGTCATTTATACGCAAGCCATCACTGGCGAAATATGTAACACATAGTACTGGGTGTTGAAACCCGTGGTCCTGTATTTGTCGGCTGGCTGTGCCATGGCGGGAACGCCTCTTTCTCTTCTCTCATCTATCACTTTTCAACACAAAAGCAAAAGGCGCGATATTAATTTTCTGTTTCTTCAACCTCATCAGCGATAAGTCACTCTTTGGGAGCGGATTAGCAAGGAAAGCTGGACTGGACTGAATTCGGAACGCATTATGGTGCGAATAATGTGATGGCTGGGCCGTTGCGTTTCTCTTTTGGTTTGTCTCTCTTTCTTTCTCGCTCAATCGGAGCGCTGGGTTTTGGGATGTGGTATCATGACAAGGAACGAAGTAAGAGAGACAGAGCATGAGAAGCGTGGTGGCTCAAGGCCCAACGGGGGAGGAAAACAGAAACGAGAGTACGACATGATGATTCATGTTGGATGTATGGACTGTCCTTGAAGCGTTTTGCATGGCACGAGATACCCCAATCTTTTGGTAGCGGAAATGAAATGATCTGATTCTGATTGCCTCTCGCTTCACTTGTGTTTGCATCTTGATGCCTGCGCCAAAATAAGTAATATCAGTGATGCCAGTCGGAGGACATCTGATAAACGGGCCGAATGTTGTGCTTTCTATGTTCAGACAGTCGAGGAAGGTGAAGCTGAAGGTTAGTTGCCAAAGGATACCTTTCCTTACCTTGTAAATATTGTACATTCGTCGCTTCCCAGACTTGAGAACTTGTTCAATTTTAGCAACAAAATCACTTGTTCTTCCCTCGACTAGTCACAGACTCTTTACTCAAATACTTTCACCCCCTCCCACTCCTCTACTTTCTCTCTCCTTCTCTATTACACACACATCCAATACCCAGATTCGCTCTCCTACAATACATCTCGCGAATTCCCTCAAGGAAAAGAAAGTCAGTACTGAAAACTCGAAATTACCTCCAGAGATGTTCGATTTCAATCTCGCCGACAATGAGGCATCGAGTCAGCGGAAAGAGAAAGGCTTCCGAGTTCGTCGGCGACATTGAGGACAATCATGAGCGATACGGCGGCGAACAGTTTGATCGCGACCACAAGAAAGCCACTGACGCTATGAAGACAGCTATGGCTGCCAATGAAAAGGCTAAGACCGCTTACGAGGAGGCGGCAGATGTCTTTCATAAGGCTTCATTGGCCCCCTAAGAGGCCGTAGCCGCGCTTGACAAGTGTGCCGCCGCGAATACTGTGAACCCTGCAAACACTGCGACCGGGACCGCCCTCAGTGAGATATATAAGGCGATGAAGGCCTTGATGGCGAAAGACCAGAGTGGATGCATGGCTGGAGACGAGATCTGGAGTGATGGTATTCCAATGAGGACAGTCGGCGTCACTGGACAAGTACTTAATACGAAGGATATCGACCGTATCGCTAATTTGCAAAACTGCGTGATGCTAATAATTCCCAATGCTACAAGGGTTGAGATTGTTGACCGATTTTCCAAGGTACGTTGATATGTCAAGTCCTGTTTCTTAAGTTTTGCTCCGTCGGTTCCTGTCACAGGCTGTTCTCTCCTGGCCTTTTCTATTTGGCCTTGGTTCTCATATCCTTTCCGTTTTTCTTTCCAGTACTTTCATCTGGGCGGTTCCTATCATAAGGCTGTAGTTATGACATTGTTTTGGGAAAGTTTGACTGACATGGCTACAAATCAAGGAAGCTCACGACGATGATGGAAACGATGCGGTCGCCATGCAACCGAACCAACGGCTAACCTGAGAAGATCAAGGAACCGGTCATCCCCCGGTTGTCGAGGCGACGGGGCCGGCCCTTCCCCTATCTCCCAAGACCTCCGGAGTGACGTCTCTGATACCAAGATTTATTGAGTGGTCGGAGACATCAAATGGCACGGACACGGAACAAAGAATCATAGATGGTGAGAGTCTGCTTCTTCGAGGATAGAATGGCCACCATTCGACCAACTTTGGCAGGCCAAAAAGGAGGCTTGGAAGGAGATGACTCTCAGCGGCAAGGGGATTTGCGGCATTGAAACTTTGAAATCCCACGGGCCTGGCGGGCGATGGAGCTTGCTTTCCTGGAGATGAAGAATGCTTCGGAGCGTTTGATTATCGGGGAGGAGTCAACTACCACAATAGTCGCCAAAGCTAAATGTGATTCGTCGAAAACCATGTCCACAAATCAGTACTCAGTTGATGCGGAGGTCCTATACTTTATGAGACGTGAAGACTCGATGTTTTTGTTTGGGCGCCGGGCCCAGCTTCCCAGGCAAGCGTATCTTTAGAATCGACGTTGTCATCATTGGCTTGAAAATAAACGATATGCCTTCGTATCCTATCAACTACTAGATAGCTTCACTACATTCGTCCCTAGTCTTGTTCTTAACGTTACCCTATTTCAAGATGATTTAGAAGCGCATACAAAGTAAATAGGGTTGGATTGTTAGATCACTTGTTATTCCCTCTTAAAAAGGTGTACATAAACATACTGACGCCATCTAGCAGCTGGCGGGATAGCTACTTCAAGATAGCTGGGAAGGTGTTCCAATGGTGAGTATCACGGCATCAGAACCGGCAAGTTACCACTTATCTTTCAGTTGACTCCTCCCAATTTAAATGTGTCAACCATGATTTCGATGCAACGACGTCCGGCCCAGTCCTCCATCATCACTTCAGCCTGCGGACTAAGACCACCTCTACGAGCTAAAGCAGCGTGACCAAATTGCCAATAGTCAGATCTGGCTCACGTGAGGTTATATTCAGTGAATATTCTATGTACCACTCATTCACCGCCTCGTCCCGGAATTGGAAAGTCTCAAAGGTGAAGGTGAAGCCCTATCTCCCACCAGACCTCCTGCTCGACCTGGTCCTCGAGAGACGCGTCTCTTGTTTTCCTTCATCCTACGCCTTTTGCGGAATTTAACCTTTCCTCATACTTCACCTCCTGACACAAGTCCGACCTATTCCCGCGCAGAGGACTCGAATTTTGATATCTTCCTCTTCACTTCAGATCGCGGTCGTACTCGCCTCCTTCGCGTCTACAACTTCTTTACCTTCTTCACCCAACACTTCCCACACACACACAACAAAATCCATCCCACGACGGCTTCTTCGTTCATCACAAAATCCAACAATAACGGAGTGGAAAGGAAAAGAACACATCGTCCCTTCATCAATTTCTTATCACCTCCCTGCCTTCCTCATCCCACTGCGAAGATGAGTGCTCCCAGACGCAGTGCCTACGAGGCCTTTGCTGCCCCCATCGATCATCCACGGAGAATCGCGCAACCTTTTCCTCACGACTATCAGCGAGGTCAGAGAGAGGCTCGGGCTCAAGAGAAGACCGACAACAGCGAGAAGATCGTCGGCGAGACAGCCAAGATGGCCGAGACGCTCACAGAGGGCGCCTCCCAGACCCAGTGCGTCTTCAGCGACGAGGATATCATCCCCGGCACTAGCATTGCTGGCGTCTCTGGCCGCCTTGGTGACGCCAAGCTTGTCTCGATGCAGCGAATGGTCATGGACTCTGTTCCTGAGGGAAGCCAGGTCAAGATCATCTACATCATCTCCAAGGTAAGTCATCTCATCAAACCTCACTACCTCTACTCGCCGCCCTTCACTCGTGTTGTATTCACATGCGATGCCGCTGCTAATGACTATTGGTGAAGAAGGAGAATGATAATAATGGTCAAGTTGGGGCTGCCAACAATGCCGCCGCTGCGGAAGCCGGACCTGCTGACAATGACCGCATTGTTCTCCTGAACAATGCGGTCAAGGACCGTATCCGTGCCCAGATCCGCCAGCGCGGCGGTGGCCAGGCTGATGAAGATGATGAAGAGGATGGCATCTCCCAGCGGCCTAGAAAGCGCCTCCGTCTGGGCACTCCCTTCCTAAGAGTTTCTCGCCGAGCCATGGCCCCCATGCATGTGTCGCCGGGAGACGTCAAGGCTGAGGAAGACGAGGACGAGGAAAACAGCGTCAAACATGAGGGTGAGAATCTTGAGGAGCACGACGAAGAGAACGGTGAGCCCTCGCAGCAGCAGGGAATCCCCGGATTTGCTCTACTCAGCCCCGCTGAGATGCTGGCCACGGCTAGGCGAGAGCGACTCATGCACGGAGAGGAGCAAATCAAACACGAGCTCAAGGAGGAGGTCGACGAAGAGGTCAAGGAGGAGAATGACGCCGAGGCCCTATTCTTTTCTATACCCAACGAAGTCATCTATCGCTTCAGTCGCAGCCATCCCAGCCTGCGGGCCATGGGTAGAGAGACTCGATCCCTGTACCGTCTTCCTTCCAGTTTCCCGTCTCCAGCTAGACCCGCCCACACCGCTCACCAGAACAACATCTCTGACAACGATAATGGCGACGATGATAACAACGAAGAGCAATACTTCCAAACGAGATACGCTGGTGTTCCCTTTGACGAGTTCCTTGCCGGACACGCCGGCCCCTTCCTCGATGAGGACCCTTACCCCCTCCTTCGGAGCTTGAACGACGGCACCGACTACCACGGATATCACTAGCACTCACTAGCTTGGACACAGAGAAGAATGGAGGAGTGCTTGCGGAACTGGACGATTTGGTGTGCGTGGGTGGATTCGCACTTGGACGGATAGACAAGTGCTCTGGACTCTTTAATGGTGCCTCACAAGGAAGACATGGAGTCAATGGGATACAGAAATCGTTCGTTACCGGTATTGGAGCAAGCAGATTGTGATAAGGGCTCGCACACAAAGAAGAACGCGAGCTAGCTCACCCTCGGCTATCAATTCACTCTGAACTTGCAATCCTTTCATGAACAATGCTTTGAGTGATCCTCTTTCAATAATATATGTACATATATGTATATGTTTGGCGGCAGCTCATCCGTTTATCTGACATTTCCAAATGTATTGCCCATTGCTTACATCCCCCGAATGCTGCCAGGATCATGATACACGGTAGGCTCCCTGAAATCATGTTGCCGTTACAAAAAACGTGTATAGTCCAGGACTTATCATTTGGGGACTTGTATGAACCAAAGTCATACCATGGATTGATAGTAACTCCGTTGGGCGGCGGGTAATATCGTCGAAGCTTAAAGAATGGCGACTCTGTCCGTCTTCAGCTCTCAAACCGCGATTCGGGACGGTGGTCAGACAGGTCATCAGGTGCTTATGCTTGATGGGATGGTACGAAGAGAAAATAAACCCTCGATAGTCTCGTTCAGTTCAACGTTCGGAAACATTACTGGCCTTAACCACACGCACTCCATAACAACACCACGTCAGTAGATGGACATCCGGAAGCGCGCACCGTCGTTACATCCATGGCATCCTCGCAGTCTCGTACAATTCAAGATTTGGGCTAATATCTATATCAGAAAGACTAGCTCCCATCTTCTGCCGGCCAAAGCATTCCACTCCTCCTCGGCCACGATAGCACCTCCTACTCGGATCCTCGCGCCTGAAGGCTGCTTCTCGACCATATAAGCAACCAACTCATTGCGAGATCCAAAACTATTTCGTCCGACAACTATCAACTCTGCTTCGTCAGATGCAGTCGCCATGTGATTGGGATGATCCCACACTGCCGTCATGGTGTTCCCTCTATGATCCCTTAACAAGTGGACTCTGTTGGACACTTCTTCGTCTTCGTCCTCGCTTTCGTCCTCGTACTCTTCATCGTATTCCCCATCGCAACGCTCTCCTTCTTCGTTTCGTCCCCCCTTATCGTCTCGTTCTCTCTCTTTCTGGCGTACATTCAACCTTGCCACAGTCGGGTCTAAAAGCAAGGTGCAGCAACTAGTCCAGAAGATCAAAAGTACTGGTCTCAACTCCGGAACGAGGAGAGATGATGGGACGTGCTCCATGGACACCTCACGAATGGGATTTTCTTTCCACGTATGCAGCGCCATGCGGTGGGATTCGTTGCCGCTCTCCATCTTGACGAAAGACTGGTTCTGTTCAATAAGGACGAGCCGGTCCTTCTCGCTGTCCAGCATGTAAAACTCCAGACCGACGTGCTCCCCCGCCAGACTGCCAAACAAGTCGTCGAACAAGTTTGGGCCTATCCAGCCAATCCAGGACCAGCTCGGGTACGGGACCTGTATCGTATCATGTTTGGTGGCTATTGTATAAGTTGCTTTGCGCCTGCGAACACTGCTGACATTGTGGTCTGTCGACTATGTAATTGTTATACTAAGAAATGACTTCGGCAGAGCCCAGGTGAAGCCGAAGCCGCTAGTGAGCTGAATGGAGGCTAAAATTCCCTCAATGGCGCCTAGGGCGTCTCCATCGTAAGTCAATTCCCTGTTACCGTAGTCGGACATCAAGCTCTGATACATCCGGTTGAACGATTCTGGATCAGCGTTCGGAACATGGATTCCCTCGTGGTCAAAATTGAAAACGCTGTTGCGAAAGAGGGTGAGGCCACGGTTCACGGGATCTAGAATTTCCCAATTGGCGTCTTCGCGCCATGTGGCCGATTGACACTCCCAAAACACCACCTCTGGGGTAAATATCAGAAGCCGGCGGGATAGCAGTATCTCCTGGAAAGTCCATCCTCGTGTCATGTACTTGCTTCGGTTACGATCTGCTGGCGTGAAGCCCAACCCGTCCGGAGGCGGGGCTTTCTGCAGCCACACCCCATTTACGAAGAACGGTCCTTCTGCCGAGGGTCGAGACGAGGCGCGAACTCCTGGAAGTCCATCGTATGCGCCTTCTCCGGAGAGGGCGACGATTGTTAACGTAGCGAGCCCGTATATGACGTCCATGAGGGGAATGAAGGTTGCTTTGTCTTGGGGCGAGTCTTGAATGATGCAAAGACTGTCGGTCCAGAGGTATTTCTCACCTATCATGCGTGTGACGGTGATGGCGTCCAAAATGGTATCAGGTATCCACGAAGGGTCCAAGGCACCCGGGCATCGCAGTGATTCCAGCGAAGTCCCCTTCAACACCTTGAACTCTCGCTGGCCCCAGACATAACTCAGCGCCACCCACTTGGCCTCTGGATTCTGCAGGTCAACGATACACATGGCGTCGACGTCTATGCAGCGGATCATACGGGGCCGTCGCTTTGTGTGAATCGATGTGAGACCGCACAAATTTCCGTGGACGTTGGCGCAAATTCGGTTCCATTCCCTTAATAAACGGAAGTCGATTTCGGGCGGCCGAATACGGCCGTAATATGGTTCCAGGTCCAGCCATACGGATGGGTCTCCTTGTGCATAACTACCGTTGGAGACTTCCAGCAGGTCGCATATATCTGTGACGGTAGGTGGATGCTCTCTGGTTCGCTGATAATGCATATTGGCACCGTCCATGCAACGGTTGAGGGTGACTTGCACGTTTCCTAAGCAGAAGGTATCATCGTGTCTTGTATGTGCAGTCGCATCCATAACACCGAAAAGGTGTCCAGAGAATGACGCTTGGCCGCTTTCTAGATCATGTTGTGTTAGGCTCGGCCAGAATCTTTGGGACCAGGTGTTGAAGAGAGCCGAGATTTGATTGCAGAACAAGCAAACATCCTTGCGATCAAGGACTTCTCGTAATGAAGGGTATTCGTCGCCCGGGCGCCCTTGTTCTGAGCTATTTTCAGAGGCTGTCGACAGCTCTTCATCAGGATGTAATCTGTCCGCGTCGTCTTCGTGATCGTCTCCATCGATCTCTTTGTCGCCTACAGCGTGTGTGATCGTTCCGTCAGATCTCACTTCGTCATCTTCGTCAATTGGGTATCCAGCGTCCGTCGCATCCGAGTCTTCCCGATAGTCTAGCTCGGGGCGGTAATATCCAACAATGCGGAAGTCGATGGTTTGACAGTAAGAACATAGAGCCATGGAAATCTCCAGCTGGCAATGGCGGAACGTCGAGAAGGCATGCGTATTTCGTAAAGGGGCGGGAAATTCACAGGGAATTCAAGAAATCGAAGTGAGCGGGGTAAAATGGCTTCTTCACGCATAGTTGCGTGACAGTTTGTCAGTATGGTCAGCGGAATATGCATGTATAGGTAAGCAGAAGAGAGTGTTTATTTGTGTGAAAGAGTAGAAGGGATCGCCATAGGCTTGCTTGTAGGCCGAATGTACCGCAGCCTGCAGGGACAACTCAGCCAAAACCCAGAAGGTAAGTGTCACTTCCGATTATGTCGCAGGCTCTAGATAAGTAAGTTGTGTCCTTCAGACGCCCAGTCTTTATTGAACATAGGGTAGCCTGAAATGACCTTAGACTCCAATTGCGGAGGGAGCGTTAGATAGGTGGTTCGTTGGTGGACTTCGCAAGCTTGAGTACCTGAGAAGCTTATTCCAAAAGATTACCGTTTTCAGCTGTGCCCCTCATGAATTACGGCGTCTATTGGGTGCAGACTTTCGACACCACAAGCGCACAGACCACGTGAATTCTTCTGGAGTCGACGATTGCTTCATGCTCGTCGATGACGCCTTGGTGTTCAACTAGAACTAATGATTGAGAGCTCGCAAGTTTTGTGTTACATACAAATGGATTACTCTAAAAGTCTCTTGATTCGGGTATCCGGCAGCTTCGTGAGATATCCGGTAGCTAGCACGACGTGACTGACTAAAGTCCCAAGCACAGGGCGAAAATTGCCGGTTCTGGTTGTAAGCTGCATCGCAATGCACGGCCGGCCAGTCCATCAGCGATCGGTATCATTGTCCCATTCGACAGATATCCAACCCTATGCGTATTGGTAATCCATAACAAGAGCGATCTAAAAGCAGTGTAATAGTTGATAGGCAAACACGTTGGTTCCCAAATGTGGAATGGTGAGTGCCAACATGCATGATCTTAAGAAGGGGACTACCCTTGATTGGTGAATGCTCCCCGAGTAAGAAGGCTTCAGCTCAGGACTGTCCTTTACCTAGCTAATGTATCTTTTATTGATATACATCAGATTATCGTGGTGTAGCTTTCGCAAGAAGACCCAGAAGAAAGGCCAGACGCATAAGCTACGGCCAGGCCACTCAACCACGTCTTGTGGTGTTGTATACGAACGTCCCAACTCTTTAATCTCCTAGAACAAACGAAACCGCCATGGCATCTTTTTCATTCTAATCTTCACCATCACAATTCAAAACATTGTCACTACAACGACGACTTCACATACCCCGCGCAAATAGACAATCCCTACACCATGAAGCTTACACTCGCCCTCACTGCCCTCCTTGCCACAACCGCCATGGCTGGAGTGGCCAAGATCCGCCACGAGGACGCGACTCTCGATGACAAATACAGGCGTCGCGCCGTCAAAGCTGGAATCGTCCTCGTCAAAGAAGAGGACATATTCTCGATTGGCAACTGATCAGTCAAGGCTGGCACCGTGTCAGTCAAGGAGGAGGACATCATTTCCTGGGAGATCGCGCTGCCAAAGCTGGCGTTGTTCCGGTGAAGGAGAAAGGCATCATCTCTATCGGAGATTCAACAGTCTTGGTCGATGGTGGCAGTCTTCTCGAGAATATGGAGGCAAGGGAGACTGACCATGACCCGTTGAGCTTCGACCAAGCACATGCTTTACACAACAACATCAGCCATTGCTCAATACACAACGCTCAAGGAAACAAGAATCTTCCTCCCCCCGTCTTTCCTACAGCACCGTGATCTCTCAGAACCTGCATCGCTTCCTCGTAACCCCGTACCGCAGCGCTCTGAAGCGCACTCTGCCCTCTCCGTCCCTTGTAACTACAAGCATTCACATCAGCACCGGCCGCTAACAAGCGCTCCATCAAGTCTACACGACCCTTCTCAGCTGCCGCATGTAAAGCCATCCCATCCCCGTAAATGCCTCCCACAGCGTGGACATCGGCGCCTTCCCGAAGAAGAAGGTTGGCGATCTCTAGATGGCCTCGCAGACATGCGCCCTGAAGAGCCGTATAGCCCTTGTACTTTGCCGAGGCACCATTAACATCAGCCCTATGTTGGAGAAGAAGCTTCACCATCGCCAGGTATCCGCCGCCCGCTGCAGCTTGCAATGCCGTGTACCCTGCCGTCGGTGATGGCGGGGCATTCACATCGGCTCCCAGTTGTAGTAGTCGGCTGACGAGTTGTTCGTGTCCTCGCTCAGCGGCTGCCTGGAGCGCCGTTCTTCCGTTATACCGCGTCACGACAACCGACGACGATGAAGCTGCTGGTGACCCGTGTACCGAAAGATGCGGCATAGACTTCAATGACACCTCGTTAACTTTTGCTCCCGCGCTGAGCAGGATATCAACGACTTTTTCGTTGCCGTGTCCGCAGGCGATCTGCAAGGCATTTCTTTGGAAGTTGTTGCCCCCGCAAAAGTGGATATCGGCGCCGGCGTCGACCAGCATCTGCACGGCCTGTTCGTGGCCGTACATGCATGCAGCCTGGACGGCCGTTTGTCCATAGTACCCGTGCGGGGGCTCATTGACGGCGGCCTGGTCGGCGGCAAGGATGGCCCGGATTGTGACCAGGTCTCCGTCTCTAGCGGCGAGCTGCAGTGGTGTCCAGCAATATTCCTCTCCGTCGTCTGTCTGCAGGGTCGGGTCCCACGCCGCGTCTAGAGGGGGCAGGGATTTTTGCATAGTGGTTTCGGGCCCCGATGAGGTGAGCCAAGGCTTGGAATAGCAGGTGGTATTCATGGGATCAACAGGATCTAAAGAGAACCATCCAGTATCGGGAGCTATTAAGAGACGAGAAGCTGATCTTTGATGCTCTAAAGACACAGTCCAGGCCAAATAAGCCAGTCAAACTTATGCCTGAAGATACATGTTGCTTAGTTGTGTGTTGTTGGTGGACTGGAACACATGCATGTTGGTTGGCCAAGACGGGCGTTCGACAATCTTATATACGCTAGCTTACCGGATCCTGCTGCTTATGGATCGGGATTCGGCACAGGTCTATCATCCAGATGTGGGGGTTAAGAACGACATGGGTCTGACGCGAGGTGAACGGCTACATGATGATCATCGCGACTTTCTTGCAAGCTTAAACCAGTGCTCTTTTCTCTCTCTCCCATGAATCACCTTCTTTGCCCCATTCAGATTATACAACGATCTGGAAAGCGGGAGAAGCCTTTTCGTGATGAATCCGACTTGTCATCGGAGGACCTCAGCCTACCCGACGAGACGCTCCGAGTTAAACGCGCAGTTCCTGAACGGCAAGTTTGGAGGCTATTGGGAGAAGTTGTTCTCACAGTTGGAATCGTCGTCCTAAGTGGAACAGTCATTCATGATAGACTTCTTCCAAGAACGGAATTATTGCCGTATGGGCTACTGACTATGTAACCCCGCCTACCCTCTTCATGAAGCAGCGCCAAAACCATTGTCGTCGCCATTCGTTGCCCAGAAAGCTGTCACTTTCGGAAACACGGCTGGCTTCGGCCCGAAAATTGTGGGTGTGCGGATCGACTGAATGTACTTCCTGGTCATGCCATCCAAGAAGTCAGGCAAGGAGTCTGACAGCGATCTATTCAACATACGCGTCATCTGGTCCGCATCCCCATTGAGGAAGCTTGGCACAGATATAAAAAACCTCGGCAGACACATATGAACTTCTTTGGTCCTGTTTGGTGAAATGTTGCGTAAACAATTGCAAGGCCACGCCGTCTCACTCGTCTAATTCCCTAAAGGATCACAATGAAGAACGATCTGTAATCCGGGGAAACCTTCACGGCTCCCGACCGTCTGATGATGGCGGGGGTGTCCAAACTTACTAAGAGACTGCAAGTTTCTCATATTTGACGAAGAAGCGGAGTTAATCGACAAGAGAAGAAGCCGGGCAGCGCCGTCTACGGCCATCTCACTGGACGAAGTGCGCATGGAGATATTGAGAAGGCCCGCGGAGGACTGCGACGATAGAGCTGCTCGGTCTGGGGAAAAAATGAAAGGAAAGGAGATTCAGAATGACGACTATGATTATGAGGAATCGCTGTCAGGGGCACGTCTGCAGTTCTGCAACAACGTGGAGCCTAGATACGCCCCCTCGTCATCCCCGAACTCAAATGAACCCTGCCCGGGTTATTATGAATGTGTCATTTGCGCCTACTGCCCCGAATTTCCACACGACAGAAAGACACGCCATTTCCGTCTCTACAAACCGAGAGATAAGTTCCCAGACGTCTTCGAAAATGGCATACCTTCGGCAAACAACATCTGCGCGCACTATCTGGCCATTTCTTGTTGTTGGCCTCCTCAACATAAGCATGAGAACGGCAATGTAATCGAAATACCCAGAACCTACAAAGTACGTGACCTAGATGGCTTCATACGAGCAAACAAGGCCCTGGACGATATTCTTGACCGTGCTGTTGACGTCGCCAATAGCTTCGGTCTACGTATGATCTGGATCGATCAAGAATGCCTTCCTCAGCACCCACAAGACGTCGAGTCTCCCTATAAGGAGTACAAACAACTCGGAATTCAAGCAATGCATATCATCTACAATAGGGCCTTTGTTACGGGGGGTCTGCTGGATGTCGCCATGTCAAATTGGCAACAGCTAGAAAAGATCCGGGGCTTGATTTCGAGGACCAGGGCCAGGAATTCAGGCATCAATCGCCTCATCACGAACGAACAAGGCTTGGAGATTGTTCAAGAATATCTTTGTGTCTTCTTGCCAACAGTCTGGAATTCAGCCCGTCTCGCCAGGTTCTTTTCGGGGAAATCTTCTTCGGCATTCTTCTTTTCCTGCACGGCAAAGTGACAGACGACTCAAGAGCTCAAGGAGTTGCCAATAGCATATGGTAGTCCATGCGTGTGGATGCGGTTCACGAAGACCTTCCGCCCTTGCCCGACGAGGTCGGCGACGAACTCTTTGAGCATCCTGCTGTACACCGCAACGCATTTCGCACGATTGCGCTGGATAGGACCCGAGCCGGAGAGTATTACCAGACATGGTTCATTGATCGCATCATGATGCATGGCAACCTATTTGTGGGCTCCTATGTACCAGAGGCCCATGACGACAAGCCTACCGGCAAGAGAACCACTGCATCATGCCCAGATGCCAACCAAGAACATCAATATGACGGTCTTGAAGATGACGAGCTTCTTAAAAGGGCAAAGCATTTCGGCATTAATGGGGTCAAATGTTGCATCATGCACCGTCAGTTCCATGGGGCAATGGTGACATATGTCTTTGCTGCCGAAGAAATCCATCATTATTGTGAACTGAAGACGGAAGCCGAGAAAAATTCCAGGGCTGGGGGTCCTCACTTACAACTCACTCCCGGAACCATGGTGTCTTTTTTGGAAACAATATGCACGCTGCAGAACTCCGAAGGAGAGGCTCGTCGAGCCAAAGAGCTCTTTTCCATCTTCGATATAGATGGCCCTTGTAAGATTGCTATTCCCTACGAAACGGCCTGGGAGATGATGTCACACCCAAAGTATGAGGAGCATAAGCGTCTGCTGGGTCGTTGAGATAGGCAGCGCTCCTGATGAAGGCGAAGACTCGAGTGTGACGATGATAGCAAGAATGACCAACGGGTCCTCATCCTCAACCCGCAGTCGGATCAAAGAGCCTGTTACTATGAGAGTTTTGGGCAAGGTTAGGGGTTTCTGGCCTGTCATGTATACACATCCGATTGGAAAGTACGCGCTTATCGATATGGGGTGGTAGTTTTTCCTTCCCAACCCGACAACAACACTGACTGAATGCTTCCTCTCCCACTTTGCTAGCGAAACGTGTAATACCGCTGCTACGTCATAGATGCTTTGTGCTATTTAATCGCTAGCAACCTAGAGATGCCCGCCTTGCTGTATATGTTGGCGCTACATAATGGCATTGTAAGTTTCCAGGAGTTTTGGAAGGTCGAGACGCCACTCTATCAGACCAAGAAGTCAACTCAATAAGTGCTTTGCTCCGTCCTCTGTTTCGATGTAGTCTACTTTTCAACATTAATCTACTTTCATTCGTTGTACCAGTCCTGTGTGTCTCATCGCGGGCCAGCGGTGGCATGCCCCACCAAGACCGCCCGCAAGTGGACCACGATAGCTTCACAAAAGGCTCAAAAACATACAACACCAGGTATTCGCTGGTCGTCACCGACCCAACTACTAATCCGGCCCTCATTGGCTTATCTATGGGAGAGCGGACGGGATCCCGAGTTTTCCAATGGGTATGGTCGTATGTGATGGTCTGGGCAGAGAGTGTGGTCCATGGAGGAGAAACTCACGATGCGGCTCACGTACACCCACCTACGACTCACCCAGCCAGATAGGGGAAAGAGGGGACAGAAGGGGGTGGCCAATGGAATATCAAACGAGTCAAAAGATGCAGTCGAAAAGTCTATCCTGACTTTGAATGGGGGATAGAGTTCAGGTACGAAGAAAAGTGTGAGTTCAGCTGGCACGGATGGGATGATTGTACATGTAGATTCTATGAGGGTCTCGCTCGCCAAGAGAATTACTCTTCAGACTGATATCAATAACGTTGGGAGACAGCTGCAGAAAGTTGTTCGTCCTGAGTATGTTATATCAAGCCGGCCGAGATCACCCCCTTCACTCTCCTGAGCGATGACGGTGTACTCATTGGCGTCCCAAAGTGCCAGCCAGTTTGGATGCGTATGCTTTACACATTGATTTTCCTACTTGACGGTCTTGAACTCTGCCGGCCTGGTGAATTACTACGTATGTATAGTAGTTTGACAGTAGGCAATCGAACCGGTGGCCTCTTAATCATCAATACTATGGTAATCATCAACCAGCCAACATGCGACCAACCCTCCGGCCTTAACGCCAAGCTGAGACTCCCTCACACGCCGACGCTACGTCCCCATTCCGCAAAGCTTCGATATCTTTCGCAGACGGTCTCCTCTTCCATCAGAACGATTCCAAGAGAATGAGACCCTGGTTTGACAGCTCTCCCTCCTCGCATTCCGCCGAAGTGTCTTGAGTCTCAACCTTGAGGCTAGCAAATAGGTTTCACAAAGCTCCGACAGAAATCTCTGAGACTCTGGCATAAAAGCATCCCACGGGCTCGAAACCTGCGAGCCAGGTACCACAATTTCTATTCCAGTAATAAACATATAGTGATGTCCGCCATCCGACCAATGCGACAAAAGCATCTGCCCACATGCCTATCAACGTCCAAAGTTGGGTGTGAACCCCGATGAACGTAGATAATTCTCCGAGGTAGTAAAAGTCAAAAAAAAGAAAAGTGTGAGGATCGACAAACCCGGTTGAACGCGCGTCCCCTACGTTCTAATCATCGCACACAGGCCGTTTAAAGGCTCGATGAACTGCAGCTAGGATTCAGAGAGTACAATTCACGATTTGCTGAAGACGGAGCGCTCGTGCAGCCCTCCTCTCTCTCTTTCTCTCTTTCGCGTCTTCCAGCATTCCCGCTGGCCGTTTGGCCGCCCACCCTGGCGTTTCGGGCAACCATCCTTACCCTTTGGTACATTCGTTTCCGAGCATCCAAGTCGGGCGCGCGCTGATAGCTGATACGGGATGCGACGCTCTGCTAGCTGAAATCTTGAACATAGTGGAATCTTGTCGGGAGCCGCTGTTGAGAAGGTTATTCTTGTCCTTTGGACATCCTGTACTTCGTGTTCATTCATTCACCTTACCCCCGGCCAAGATGATTTGCCGTGAAGCATGGACGACGACGCGTCCAATTCCAATACCACGTATGAGACAGGGCTCGGTGTCTAGTCACAAACTCAGAAACTAGTCTCAAGTTTAACCAGTTTATCGGGTAATGTTTCCCCCAACAGCCTGTTGCTAGTCAGTCCGCTAAACTTGAGTCAGCTCCAGCCAGTCTCGGCAGGTACCCGAAATACTATCTCCAAAACGTAAATCTTGACACAAATGCCATGGAAAATTGAGCAAAGGCTCAACCAGTCTCCTTCAGCAGCGCATGCGCCAAAAAGATGGACGATCTGGGAATCGAACCCAGGACCTACCGCATGCTAAGCGGTCATTATACCACTAAACCAATCGCCCATGGCATGATCTAGCCCGGACTTGAACCGGAGACCTTCAGTGAACAGGCAGGCGTCGTGGGACGCTCGAGATGTTAGACTGACGCGATAACCAACTACACCACCAGACCATTTGATTGATGGCAGCGTCCTCAAGCAAGTGTACCATTAGGGCAGGGTTCTCGACAGGAGCCACCATGGAGCTAGGCGGAACCCGGCAGGACGGATGCGGGAGAGTGGGTCCAGGGTCTCCGGGCTGGTCTACCGAAATTCCGGATGACCAGGTTGCCGGACCCAAACATGAGAGACCGTGTGCCCATCAGCACCATTGCGCAGAGGAGATTCGGTGTGATTATGCTAGAAAACATGGGGCCATGGGACAAGTTGACGGAGTCATGCGTTGTATGCGAAGGGCTGACTCGTTATGTTGGCCAGGCCTCGGTGGCCGGCCAACCAGCCCGAGTGGAGGATGTAGTGTGCTACTCGTGACACAGTCGTGTAGTGTAGAACTTGAACCAAAGCAAGAAGAGACTGTGAGCCACTGTGGACTACGAGCCAGTGACTCTGGGAAGGATCGAGGGCGGGCACGAGTTGTGGGGTGGAGACAACCCCAGCCCACATTGCAATATATCGCTCAATGTCTCTTCCACGTCCGAAGATAGTGGCGGACATAGCTCAGTTGGGAGAGCGTCAGACTGAAGCGGATCTTTTCCGAGAAACTTCATTCAATCAATCTGAAGGTCGTGTGTTCAATCCACACTGGCCGCATCTTCGCTTTTTGTTGCCCTCTAGTAATGCAGGGCGTTCGCTGTGTTGTGTCTGTGGTGGCCTCTTTGGTTGGTCCCACACGATATGGAGGTGATTGATGGCTGTCTTTTTTCTCTATTTTGGTACCGTGTGCGTGGTAAGTGCGGCTCTGCGAGGAAGGGCTAAATAGAGTCTAGCCAGCTGGCCTATGAGCAACGTCATACGGCCTAGAGAGGGGGTGGTGTATGTATGTACATCGTCTTCCGGAGTCGACACCGAAGCCTGGCCACTCATAGGACCGAATGAATGATTCCTTTTGGGGCCCGTAAAACGTCTCTACATTCGACCCGATCATGATCGTATGTATATGCCCGTCTTCTGTTCGTCTGTCCACTAGGTGCCATCGTTCGATCTCCCAGCCTGGTATTCGACACAGAGGTGCGTCATGAAGAAGTAAATACCCCTAGGTTATGGCCAGCGCAGGCTCGTCCGGTCGAGTAAATTGACAATTGGGATCGGGTTCAGATGAGGGGAAGTTCAGTCGTTCGTTTGGATTTCCACTTGTGGAAAGGGCACATTGCTTGCCGCGTATGCCAGACAGAATGGGCGCCCCCAACCGGTCCGGTCAGTGCGAAGATTGGATTGGAGCCCGTAACAAATATCAGCCGAATTTTGCGCGTGGTAACGGTAAAACTGGGAAGCAATGCCCATCGGTGGCGGCTTTGGACCATCTGACGAGGCTGTTGAGCGGACCGAGAGTGCCCGGGCCGCATTGTTCTCAAGTTTGCGAGCCGGTGTGTTTCTGGTCGACACCATCGTGAGCAATGGAAAACACGACGTTGAGCACACGCAGTCCTCCTCGGTGCCGTCATCGGCTCCGTCTCCGCATTTTTAAAAAATGCTTCGCATTGTACCTGGCTTTCGAGGTGTGCTGGCCGGCTGCCGTCTTGGCGAAGAAACGCCGTTCAGGCAAATCCAAGTGAACTTCTGTCATGGGCAGTGGGTAGGGGCCGGATTTCTGAACAGCTAGCCGCCATGCCGTCTCGAAGACCAAACATGGAGACAGCGCATCGAGGTTCCCGAGGCGGGGCAGGTAATCCCATGGGCAGAGAGACAAGAGCCATTCCGGCTGGGTATAGGCTGAGAGAAGTCGACTTTTCCCAAGGCTGACCGTGGTTCAAGGGCGAATTAGTTGTAAGTTTGTCGTCTTGTTCCTTGTCTGCTATACGTGGCTACGTGTCGAACGCGCTAAGAGTTGCGGGAAGGCACGTCGTCGGTATGGTAGCTTTGCCATGCAGATCCCCCTCTCGATTCCTTCGTCATGCTAGCCCCAGAGTCAGAGGGGCCACACGTTGCACACGCGGCCACCAGCAGGCCTCGCCTGGCCCCCAGGCCCGGTAGCAGATTCGCAGGCGATCTTTTTGCACTGCCTTCCCGGCGGCAGTGAACGGCCGCTACTGGGCGTGCATGGATGGAACCGGCCGGAGACGATGACAGGCAAGCAAACAGCTAAGCATTGCGGGCTGTCGGTAAATCTTGCCCTGGCTGAGGATGAACCCTGTGCCTATTCTTGGACATCATTCTTGGCAGGCCATGCGTTTCCTCATAGCGGCGCAAACATTGTGTGTGCGGACAACGAGCATTGACTTTGGTCTGGTTACGGATGCAGAAAGAGGCCGTGATAATTTCATTTGCTCGGAGAAATCAGCGAGCAGGTTTGATGCATTGCAGGGAATGGGAATGGGGGGTGTGTGTGGAAAGATGACGAGTGCCCCAGACGGAGATGGCGACGCCCATGACCATGGCGTCCGCGAGAGACACCCAGCGGCAGGATCCGAGACAAGGCTGTTGTGTTGGTCGTGGGATGCCTGATTGCCGTCACAACGGTTGTTTGGTGGTCGAGAAAGGCGGCTTAAATGGGCTCGTAACCGTCGTATAAGGTATAGTTACTACAGTATGGCTAATGTTGGTGAAGGAGGGCTTGTCTGATTCTTGACGCGGGCGACTTTAGAGTTTAGGCTTGGCTCGTAGGAGATCTATAGGTTGATTGCGATATCGAATCTCGGATTTGCCAGACACGTTGCATTGGGGTGAGAGGGGGCGCGGGATCAGGGAGATCCAAGAGTGAGAGAAAGGGGACGACGCAGCAGCGAAGAAGCTTACTGCAAAGCTAAAGATGGCGCTTCGAGAAGACGAGGGCCTGACTCTGGTCGTTTGGCTGTTGTGGTCGTGTCTGGGTGGGTTGAGGTTAGAAGTTGGTCGGAGATGGGATGAATGTGGAGGAGTTGCGCTACACTAACAATTTCTGGCGCGTCTCGGCCAGTAAGCGAGCCGAGAGGAACCCCTGCATCCGTGCCAGAGTAGGCAAGTACTTGACGGGTGTTTCTGTAAGTATTCAGTCCGTGCAGAATGTCACTGAAGATACTAGGCGATACTTGAAGAAGTCTCGCTCAAAGTAGAGCAGGAGGCATCCCCTGCCAAAGGGGAGGGATTACCTAAGACGCTTGTCTCACTCTATTCTTCAGGGCAGGCACGGCGGAGCAATCGAGATTCAAGCTTGGTTATACCGTGTACGTACTGGCTGTACGGAGTACCCCCGTACCCCCGTACCTTATGTATGTCTTCGTCTTCATCTCCAAGACTTCGGCATGTGCCGGTCACATCCTCTCTTCTTCATGAACTTCATCAAGTTCTTGAACCAGTGTCGCCGCTAGATTCCCGGATTGCACATCCCGGGTACTAGATCAAGTGATCTATTCAACGCAAGGACGCCAGACGACTATGGAAATCCAAACATCCGTCACGCATGCTCCAGCCCATCAGCGGCAAATGTTTGGGGCTCTTCTTTGAGGCACGGGTGTGGCAGCAAGCTAAAATCCGGAGGTGGCAGCTCCCGAACGACTCCTGTTGACCATCCATGTTTCAGATGCGCCTGGCAAGTCCGCGAAACCGCCCTCGAGTCCTCGACGCCCAAGGAAGCAGAAGTCGATCACGTCCCAGTCGGTCCAAACTCCCAAACCCTCCGAATTTCACTCGTGCCCGGCCCAGGCGCCAGGTCAAGCTTACCGGTCCTTGACTTTGGATTCTCCCTTTTTGGCCCTTACTGGGTCACTGGGGGCTCTGGAGGGGCCATACGACCAGACTCGAGGTCGGGGTTGGCTTGTGTTGTATGTCTTGCCCTGGTGCCGGGAGGCAAGCGGGAAGCCCTGCTTTGCCTGTGTTGCATCTCGTCTGTGTTTCTGGTGTGTGCACCTGCACCTGCGCGCGCGCCGCTACGATGCATTGCTAGCATCGTTTTCCGATTTCACTCCTCTCTTTTCTTTCCATTTGTTTTCATTTCCTTCTTTTCGCTCTTATTTACACCTACCCTCTTCTCCAACCCGCTACCGTGCCCTGTTTCCTGCTCTGTTTCTTCTCTGGACTTTGGGGCTTTGTAGGAGAAACATTCGAGAGTCGACGAACCAACTACACGCTGGACGACGGTTGAACGACAGGGAAGCAGACAACGGGACGCGGCTAGCAAGCAACTTGGCTTTGAATCAACATTCGTCACTCGGAGCATTCGTCACTTTCTCTTGTTAATTCCGAATCCTTGTGCCATCGTTGGATCGTCGATATCGCACCAGGCCCGGCTGGTAATCTATTCATCTAATGGCCAATGTCTTGAAGACATATCCAAGTCGTCACACTTCCCTCTCTGCCTCGGGAAGTCTTTTCACACAGACGACCTTCCCTTGTTCATAATACCGACTCGATTTGATTTTGGGACTTGGCGTTGTCCTGTGTCCTGTTGGCGCTGGATTGATACCCTTTAGACTTCTTTTGAGGAACAGTCCTCCAACTACTTTCTTTTCGAACCACAAACGGTGCTCACGAGCCTCGATACACCACCACACCCCATGAATCAGACAGCGACCATGTCGTCCATGCCAATGGAACTCAACCTACCCCGGGTGGTCCCCGGCGGCCAGCACATCAGCTATTACGTCGCCATAAGCGCAATGCTAGTGGCAGCCTGGCTCTTCCAGTCGCGAAGACCAAAATTCCCCGACATGCCCTTCTACAAGGCTGCCAAGACGAAGTGGATGTTTGACGCCGAGACTTTGATTCGCGACAGTTACGGCAAGGTATGGTGTAGACCAAATGCAACTAGTTCGATCGCTGACACCCATGCAGTTCCGCGATACTGTATATCAGATCAAAGCGACAGAAGGTCTGCAGGTGCTCGTACCTGCAAGACTCATTGGCGAGCTGAGAAGCTTACCAGAGGAGGTACTGAGCGCCACAGAGGCTGTCGATGAGGCCATGTTGAGCAGATATACCAACTTCACTCTTGGCAACCATGCCGACCTACTGTCTACACTTGTACGGTGTAAGCTGTCGC